TTATTGGTGTCTTAATTATTATTTCATATATTTGAATAGATCTCCCAATTCTTTCAACAAAAAAAATCTGAAAATTGTTGAATACATATCCACAACGCATTGGCTGATAGTCAAAATGGGCCATCACTGTCTGAAAAGTTTGAAAATCCCTAGATTAAAGTGTGACATATAGAGACTGAGCAATGTCACATTAAAACCTCCTTCTTTCACCTCCGCAACGTCGCCAAAATCAGACCCTCACTCACACCCTCTGCTGCTGAAAGACTCATTCACGCCTTCATCTCCTCACGACTGGACTACTGCAACTCACTACTCCTTGGTATCAGCTCAAACTACATAAAAAGACTCCAACTGGTCCAGAATGCAGCCGCCCGACTCATCACCCGCTCCAAATCCTGGCACCACATCACTCCAGTCCTAAAACAACTACACTGCATGGCTTCCTATTTCCCACCGGATCACATACAAAATCCTGGTCCTTACAAAGCCATCCACCACCTGGCCCCCTCATACCTCACTGACCTCCTCTTCCCTATACCAACCCTCACGGTCCCTCAGATCCACCTCAGCCGGTCTCCTCTGCATCCACAAGTCCAAGCTCCGCAGTTTTGGGGACAGAGCCTTTTCCAGGGCAGCTCCCAGGCTCTGGAACTCCCTCCCCCATGAGAACCGCACCTCTGAGTCCCTCACCATCTTCCAGTCCCGCCTCAAGACCCATCTCTTCACCTCTGCCTATCCCTGCCCTGTAAAGCGACTTTAAAGTTTGAGAAAAGCGCTATACAAATTCAATTTATTATTATTATTATTATTATTATTATTATTATTATGTGTACACACGTGACGTAATGACGCAAAGACATGCTCGAATTTCCCGCGGAAATCCACCAGTACCACTGGAATTAAAAACATTTTTACAAGCTTACTGTTTTGAATCGAGCTAAGGCAAGCAGATAGTTTTGAACACTGGCTGGTTATGTACTTGCTCAAAAAAAAATTGGGGATAATTTTTAACCCAAAAAAGTTACGGAATGCAGCTTTAACAATGTATTTACCATTTTAGTGCAATGTTCTTAAAGTGTTTATTTTTGATTTTTTATAACAATATATGGGCACTGAAGGACTTTACTGAGATTCATGTAATGAAAGTTTGTTCACAAGCTCTTTTATTCACGTCTTTCCACAGTTGAAGATTGGGTATAAGTTGTTTCAGTAAGTTGCCTATTTCAATTCTGATGTTTATTCATGTTTATTTCATGTCATGTTGTCATGACTCAGGTCACTATTGTATGTTTTATCTATGCAATCATAATGTATGAGTGGTCGAACCACATTTGACATAAAATGCTTACAAATACTAATGAGGTAACGCTGTATAATCATATACATGAAATTAATGTTTAATACCATGGTGGTGTTTTCTAATTGTGTTTGACACTGTGTGCACCTTCTTAGTTTTAGGGAAAGTTATTTTTTTGCAAAGGTAATGCATTACAATATTGCGTTACTCCCTAAAAAAGTAACTAATTGCGTATACTTTTTATGGAAAGTAATATGTTAAGTTGTTTTAACAAGATTTAACAATGTCCTGACAGAAACCCATCAAGATATGATCTGTTAGTCAGAAAGATTGTTTTTTCTACAAGTGGACATTTTTAAGTTAGGTATTTCAACTGCAATTCAGTTAATGAGAGCAACTGTGCTGGTATTTACTGAACCACAGGAAACAGTTTTCTTTAGAAGGCTGAAACATGATCTTTAAAATGATCTTTGATAAAACGTTCACAGTAACCGTCCGTAACCAGTTACTCCATGTCATTTATGCAAAAGGGTACATGCTGGTTAATCGGTAAATATAGCCTATGCACTACTGTTCAAGATTTTGTTGTCGTTTTTATAAGAAATTGATATTTCTATTCAGCAACTGTTCTTCAGCATTTATAATGTTACAAAATATTTCTTTTTCAAATAGCATAAATGCTGTTCTTTTGTACTTTCTATTCATCAAACAATCCTGACAGTTTCCATATTAAATTTTACGCATCACAACCATTTCCAATATTCAATTATAAGAACAATATTTAAAAAAAGGAAATGTTTCTTGATGACCAGCAGAATCATTTCTGAAGGGCCATATAACACTGAAGACTCAAGTATGATGCTGAAAATTCAACTTTAGAAATTAATAGCAATAGCATTTTAAAATGTATTAAAATAAAGCAGTAATTTTAAATTGTTATAATATTTAACTATATTACTGTTCAAACTTTTTTATTTTACTTCATTTTTAGCATTTTATTTGTAATAAACACTTCAAGTGGGCTATTAAAAAAGTGCTATTTATATTGAATCATGATTGTTAAAAAACATAATATGCGCAGAGTGTGACGTCATATCGTGACGGTTGCAGTGTGAGTCCGTACTCCGTAGAACGAACGGATTCGAGCGCCACCTTCGGTGATGTGTTGTGTAACCGTTAGGTAAGTTAGGCAGGTTTTTTGTGTTCGTTCTTATTTCCTGTTGCTGTAACGTTACAGGGTCTTTTATTGTATATGACAGTGTTAACAGCTCAATAACCCTGGATTTAAAGGCTTAATTTATGTCCTGTAGACGATTCCTAGCAGTATCGACAGGGTCGGGGCCAGAGTGCACAAACTGAGGTGGCACAAACGCGATGTCAGACCTTCAGACTTTTGTGATTTGGGTTGGTATATCTTTTATTCTAACTGATCCAACTTACGGTTTTCCTAAAAAATTGTACGATCAAAACTCAATGAGCCAAGGCTATTCAAACTCCAACTTTAAAAAATTCCAATCTTAACACACTGAAGCCCATGAACCCTTTTCACGTACTGTGATGACGCGTTTTAACGGCAATCAGCAGCGTAAATCCTTATTATATTTTCATTTTTTTAAATGTATGTACATTTATAACTCTAATCTTTGTATTATATTACCTCTGCATCAAATTACAGAAGACTAGTTAACGCTGGTGTGAGGGTGTTCTTCTAATACAACGGCTGTGGGAGTGACGGTAAAAATCTAACGTTAGTCTCTCATTCACATAATATGGCTCATTCACCGCTGTAGAATTTTAACCAACTATGACGACTTCCGCTTCTGAGATGCTCGGAAATGTTAAGCTGCCATTCTTTTTAATATTACTTATCTATCTATCTATTCAAAAATTCAAACGCTTGTTGTGCTTCGTGGAGTTTTGACTTGTTTTATCCACCTTATTTTTTCAAGTAAGAATTATGCGGCCATTTGTAATTTTACCGTGTCTGGTTTCCGGTGTCATTCGGCCACACCTGCTGTGTCTGGATGCACTACGGTTTGAAAGTTTGTTAGCTTGTTCCAGCCTGTCACAACCCTCCCTTTAGACAGTAAACAAACTGTTTCCCAAATTGCACTACAATGCACCGATTGCACTCATTGCCCTACAGTGCACAAAGTCTTAGAAGCACATGGGCAAGGTTAAAAAAAAATATCAGGACGGTATGTGGCTCATTATTCCATCCCAATTTCATAAGGAGCTGAAGTGTTATTCTTATACTGTATATCTTGATTACATCGGACGTTTCCCCCATTTAGACAGGATTCTGTACAGCTGTGCTTGCATGGACTTGCAATATGTAGCCTACCTGTACAGGTGTGCAGATCTTGTATCAGTTTCTGTTCATAAATTGTGTCTTTCAATGATCATTAGTCACATATATTGTAAATGTACAAATGCAGACATATTTTTTTAATTTTACTCAGTTCAAAATCAGAAACTAGCCTTTTTGCTACACTTATTCACCAGTTATCTCACAAGAAAACACTAACTGCTTAAACTATTCAGTGAAATTACAGCAATGAAAGCCAAGGTTCCTGTTCAAATTGGATAAAGAGGAAATGGAAGAGAAAAGAAAGATGAAAAGGAATGATGTCGGATGAGATCAGGCAACATTGGTTGATTACTGAATCCTATCTGCACTGTAGGCTATATATCTAGATGCTGTATGTATAATATAATTATAGACAGGCATTTGAATAAATTTGAATGCATAAAAGGTGTAAATAATGAACATTATTTTGACATTTAGAAAATAGCCTTGGCTATTTGATCCACATTGTGACTAATTCATTATTAGATGTGTAAGATTGCACACATAAAAGTTAATATTTGTAGATTTATTTTTTATTAATTTGTTTTTTTTCCTCAACAGCTGTATTGAAGATATTATTGCCATCTGCTGAACACGTAATTTTGAGGTAAACTACACTTTCTACTATTTTATTTTTTTCCCATTTATTCATAAATTTGGCACAGTCTATACAATTATTAGTCATAATCAAATTTTGCCATTCAAGTAAACATTCTGTCACAACCAATGGAAAAATCAAGAAATTATGTCAAAAGAATTCTCATGTTCTGCTGTTTAAATTATTTCAGAATATGTATGGCCTAATTGTAAATACAAAAATATATAAATGGTTCAATATAATGATTGTGTTTGGATTAATTAGTGCCTAATTAGCAGCATTGGTAACAGATTTCTTTTATGAATCATATACTACTAAGCAAGTGACCCTGCCCGTTCCTGGAGCCAGAGCCTTAGTCATGCTTTATGTTAACTCAAAATGAAACTCCTCTCCTACCACTGGCCCTTTAGAGATTAGCCAAATATACTTCTAAAAGGTTACACACAGGCCCACTTTTAAACCAAAAGCCTTAATAGTGGGTGATGAAGTTTCAGAACTGGTTTAAAAAATACATCAATGTGAGAGAAAGGGAAGAAGGAAAAAAAGGAAGAACCTGTTTTATAATAGAGAGGAACAGCACAGGAATGCAGTGTGAAGGGGTGTGAGAGCATATGTGAATAATACAGGGAGGGATCGAGGGAGTTAATGTGGTGTATAGGTGAGTGTGTGTGAGATAGAGAAGTGTGTAAGGGGGCAGGCCATGAAGGGCTGGTCCTGGTCCATCGTGGCTATAAGAGCAGAGCCCTGGCCTTCACATGAGTATACGTCTTTGAGGACATACAGGTTTTTTTTCACACAGTCAGAGGAAGACATCCACACCCGGCTGAAAGATGGGTTGGCAGAAGGCCATGCTGGATAAGCTTGCACAGACTTTCCATATCCGCAACAAGCTGCTGCGCCAGGGATTGGCTGAATGCTTGGGAACTCTCATCCTGGTGGTGGGTATTTCTCCTTAATCATAATTTAGTCATCAGTAGTGACTAAACATCAGTAGTAATAGCATCAAAGCTGAGGTCGGTAGAAGTTAATAGAAATGCAGTTAGTTATATGGTCTGAAACAGCATGTTTATGTCTCACATAATCTGTAATAAAAGTAAAAAATAAGATTTATTTTTTAGTGCAATGTTACATGTAGAGCATCAGCTGTGGAATTGCACACTCTTGCTCTTTTCACTCAGATTGATGACAAAGTCAGGCTCTAATGGGCACTTTAGCACATGCAAGAACTCACATTTTCCATAAGCAATTAACTGAATGATAGATTAATGCAAATTAGCATTTAAATCTCTACTATTGTGCACACAGTGGTGTGGAGTCTTACACAGATCTTACATTAGCATGTTTTAGTTTCCTGCAACTGGTCTTCAGTCCAAAAGACAGTTCAAAATGTACCCAAAAATGAAAATTCTGTTCAAATTGAAAAGTAAAAAAAAAGAATCATCCAAACCTGTGTGAGTTTCTTCTGTGGAACACATTGTATTTTTTTCTATACAATGAAAGTCAATGGGGTTGTTTTGGATCCCTCTGACTTTTATTGTGTGAATAAAAACATTTACCGTAAAAACAATTGAAACATTCACGATGAACCAATAAAGGAAGTGTACTGCATTGTATTTTATTGAAAATTCATACGAATGTTAAATATGCCCTGAGGACCTATACTTAAAGGAAGTCATTTGCAAATAGATAAGAAAGAAGGGTAGATATAATCTTAGTCCTGTTCGTGAGAAAAACAAATTTCCTTGACATACATGATTAACAGCAAAAAAAGTACTTGAATATCCTCTCTATTTTAGTGGCAATTTTCTGTGACAAACATAAGAACTAAGCTTGTAACTGCATGTATCAGGAAAGAAGCGCATACCAAAGCTTTCGATGAATAGCACTTGTTTCATCACTTCCATTATAATACCACAATCCACGCGTCAGAAACAACATAATATGTTGAGGTTTAATGAATCATCTTAAGGCATCGAGCCAATATCATCAGAGTGCATTTGCCACACCAATAACAAGGATTCATTTTGAAATATACTTTAGTCCATTTTTTCTTATCCTAAACATGTAAAATCTATATTTTGGAAAGGTTTGACATTAATGCAAACATATTTAGTGGCTAGATATTTAGAAATTCACCAGGATGAAGAAAAAAAAAAGTTATTAACTTGACAGACCCACAATTCCCCACCAGTTTTTACAGTCACAGAAATGTTCTCAAACATTGCGATAAACAGGATGTCTGGTAAATGCACCACACGTGGCAGAGTACAACGAAGAAACCGCCGCTGTAAGAGATCAGGGCCAGGGGTGTTTGTGAATGACAGTCACGTGAGGGGTATGAAACATGACTCTTGTTAAAGAGTACATTGACACCAAACTGCTGCTACAAAATGCTCTCAGGGCAATTATGTGATTTTGCACGCACTTTAGTAACAACTTATTTCAAGAATTACTCTCATAGTTTGCTTTTAAGGTGGCCCGGGGTTATATGAGAGATAATACTTGAATAGAGAAGTGCAATAACTGGAACACTCAACAGGTGTGATGTTTGCTGTGTGGCAAAAGGTATTCGATGTGCAAGTTCCTTTGAACACAGTCTTTGTCTGTGAAGGTCAGAGTTGTAATATTGACTTTATCAGCAAACGTTCTTCCCAGAGCAGAAACAGGAACCATTTCTCTTTGGTCACACAATAGGCTTACTGTGAAGAAAAAAAGGTTGAATAACATGAATAACACAAGGAAATGTATTAGCATTTAGCAGTCATTACTGAAAACAAAAGGAAATACTTTTGGGCCCACGCTTAGGTGATACATTGGTTTTGTGAGATGCCATTTTTAGGCTTGTGTTGACATTGTTGCTGAGATTTAAACTTACGAAAGCTCTTCAATGCTTCCTGGCAATTACATGACTTTAGTATAGCCATAGCGTGAGTCTGATAATTCGATATAATGCCAGAGGTATTTATTCATCCTGAGGTGACCTGTCAAATGGAAACTTCAGCCACAAGTCTGAACAGCAACTTGTAATTGCTCTTTGTCAGAAAGGACTTGTAATGACCTGTCTGAGATGTTCTATGTGCAAATGTGCAGCCCAAAGTCACTATAGATTTGTAGTGTCTCAACAAAAGGGAATACTTATTTTATTTTTAGCAGAGTTTGAAACTGCAACCTGCTATTCTCATCACCAGTTTAAAGTATATGTTGTGGCTCACAATTTGAATGCTTTGAAAGGCCTACTCTTAGATGGTAAAATGATTATTCATAGTGCTGAAAGAAATGGCACGCTTGAAACAATGTGTGGTGTCTTAAACAGTAATTAACGCATGTTCTTATTTCACATCATTCACAGATGTTTGGCTGTGGTGCAGTGGCTCAAGTGATACTGAGTGAAGGATCTCACGGACGCTTTCTCACTATAAACCTTGCTTTTGGGTTTGCCGCTACTCTTGGAATCTTGGTTTGCGGCCAGGTGTCAGGTAGGCAAACTCCTCTAAAATTGCATCTTAAGCTGTTGTTGTGCATGGCTATAAAAAGAGGACTGAGTTTTTATAAAAGATTCTTTGTGGATGAACTTTTTGGATGAGAGAACTTTTTTTTTTTCACCTTTAGGCGGACATTTAAATCCAGCAGTTACATTTGCTCTCTGCCTCCTGGGACGTGAAAAATGGAGAAAGTTCCCTGTGTACTTTCTGTTTCAAACAATTGGATCCTTCTTGGGTGCTGCAATTATCTTTGCTGAATACCATGGTACATGTTACGCAATATTAATGTTCTTTCTTGTCAAACGTGTGTCATGTTTTATCCTGTCTGACACTTCTTTTTTTAATATATTATTTTAGATGCAATGTATGAGTTTGCTGGAGAATCAAATCTGTTGCTTGTAAGTGGGCCAAAAGCCACTGCTGGGATTTTTGCTACCTACCCCAACCCTCATCTCACCATCTTAAATGGATTCTTTGACCAGGTCAGTAACTGCAAGTTTACCAGCTTGTAACTAACTTAAATGAATTATAAAATCTCTTCATTAAACCATCAAAGACATCCTCTGTAATGACGGCATTTTTATTTGTAAATATTTCAATTATATAGTTTTTATTTAATTACAGGGCATGACTATGAAATTACATACCTTTAAAAAGAATGAAAATAGAATATTTTTTTGTAAATTAGTGTAAAAATAAACAAATACAAAAAAAAGTTTTTCAAGCAAAACATTTTTTTACCATCCCCATGTTTCTGTAGGACAGGGGTGTCCAAACTCGGTCCTGGAGGGCCACTGTCTTGCAGAGTTTAGCTCCAACTTGTCTCAACACTCCTACCTGGAAGTTTGTAGGATGCCTAGTGAATACCTTGATTAGCTGGTTCAGGTGTGTTTAATAGGGGTTGGAGCTTAACTTTGCAGGACACTGGCCCTCCAGGAGCAGGATTGACACCCCCACCTTAGGGGGTTCTGTAAAGTATAATGAATATATTATTTTTATTATCTTATATATTTTTCTATATAAACTATAAATATAACCATCTTCCCAGGTGATAGGCACTGCGTCTCTGATTGTCTGCATCCTGGCCATTGTGGACCCCTACAACAACCCGATCCCCCAAGGTCTTGAGGCCTTCACGGTGGGGTTCAGCATTCTTGTCATTGGACTCTCCATGGGCTTCAATTCTGGTTATGCAGTTAACCCAGCTAGGGATTTCGGGCCTCGTCTTTTCACCGCCATTGCTGGTTGGGGTGGTGAAGTCTTTACGTAAGTCTATACATTTAATTCCCATAACATACACATATTATGTACTGTGCAACGCTTTTCAAGTTTTTGCTTCTGTCAGTAAAAACTAATGAGATTTTCTATTTTGGTTTGCAAAAGTACCAGACAGTGTTGGTTTTTGGTGCCCATCTTCGCCCCCTTCCTGGGATCCATTATTGGTGTGATTGTGTACCAGCTAATGGTGGGGTGGCACGTGGAGGGAGAGGCACGGGACAAGAAGAATAAAGCTAGGGAAGAGTCTTTGAAACTTAATGACGTCACCAGCAAGGAGTGATTTACGTGAATTCCATCACCCCTCCGTACCATAAATCCACATAAGCTTTCTGCTTATGAGTCTCTGGGTTCAGTGAATATGTCTTGTACCACACAAGACTCCCTCTTCTGTTTCAGAGCGGATTCTGATAGTCTTGCAGGCCATCAAATGGACTTTAAATGCTGAACATTTCTAGATTTCAAACTTTTCTTAATTGTTCCATCAGACATTTTTGTTATTCTTTTTTTTATGACAATGATTCTTATTTTTTTCTTCACACATTCTCCAGATTCCTCCATTAAGGGAAAAAGGTGTTTCTTTAGCAACACGAATTATATTAATTCACTGTTTTGAAAAGTTAGTAAAAATGTAGTGTAGCAACTATCAATAGTTACAATATTTCACTTTTTTTAGCCGTTCTACTAAAAACAGCTACAATACTTAGCTTTCTTTTTTTTTATTTGTACATTTTTCCGTGTAAATATTTTTTTATTCTCATCTTCAATTAAAGCTGATTTTTTTCCTATTACATTTTAGGGATTGCAACTTAACGTACACATTTTAGGTAATATGTTACAGACGATAGGGTAGTAATCCTGACAATTGCATGACATTACAGTTTTTAGACTAGTGTCACCATCCTCTTCTGTATCTGTTAGTTTAGTAACCAATGTAATTTTGTGATTGAATGTTTTGAAGCAATTTATTGTTATATTAATAAAGGTTTTTGTTTTAAAAGTCTCACAATGTGAAGTTTTGTCATTTTTATGTTGTTTAGTTGAAACCTCCCTTTGTCGCTCCTTTGTCTTTAGGGATGTGCTCATTCATGTACTCCTCCAGGGGTTGTTGGGGTTGATCTATATTAGAGTTAAAAAAATAAGAGAGTACAAAAGAGTAAGAACATTACCAGTCTCTCTCTCAGGTTCACATTCATTTATTGGGAGAACATCTGGGTGTGTGCAAGTTATTCCACCTTCAAGAAAGAAAACAATCTTTAAAAGTGAACTAGTAGATTACAATAGCTTCAACCAAGCCACAACACGTCAGGGTAAAGTTCTCAGAACTCAATTATATTATTTATTGTCCCTGATTTATTTCCCAGAACCCTACAAAAACAAATTGTTACTTACAACACAGGGTTGTTGACAAAGCAATAACTCACTTTTGTTACATTTCTAAAACCAATTGCAAAACTAAGGAAGACCAGCCTTCTCTACACTTTAAATCGGTGCATTAATTAAAGCTTGTGGATTGGTGTCACATTGTGGTTGAGGGCATGAGGAGGATTCAGGCACAGAGTTCTATTGGCTTTTTATTTAATTAAATTAAATGAATTAAAAACTACCCCGTAAGGGAAAACACACAAACCAAGGCACAGTAAGGCCAGGCAGGGAAGGTCTGAAAACATGGGTAACACTATACACACTGAAACATTAGACGACAAACTTGCACAAGACAGATAATGCAGAGAGAATAAATAGGAAAGCAAAATGAGAAGGGTAATGTGGCAAATGAACTAATAACAAGATAACAGACAGGGAAGCACATGGCAGAACCAAATGTGACGGAAGCCATGTGCCTCACACCAAACATCATGACAATACAGGAGCACATGTCCAATGAAAACTCACAAGCCGGGTGCCCAACAAAAACATACACGACCAAAAGCACATGCTGAGGGAACAAACACTCAAGCCGTGCTCACAACAGAAGACAAAACATGGAGCAATGTCCGGAGCTCGACCCTGAACTGAAACCCAACTAGGCAGGAGTGCTGGAATCCGGATACTCACAGAAGGACAAGATGATACAAGATTGTCAGGAACTCAAGTGATTTTATTTTCCTTTCTCCAGAATGAGATCACTACCGTTCGGAAGTTTATGACTTTCTTTTTTGAAAGAAGTCCCTTATTCTCACCAAGGCTGCATTCAGTAAAAACTGTATTAATTTGTTACATTATTACAATTTAAAATGACTGTTTTCTACTGTAATATATAATATAATATATTTTTATTAAATCCTGTGATGGAAAAGCTGAATTTTCAGCATTCATTACTCCAGTCTTCAGTGTCATCCTTCAGAAATTATTTTAACATTTCTTATTATTATCAATGTTGAAAACAGTTGTTATATGTAATAGTATTGTGGAAACCATGGTATGTTTTTCAAGATAGTATCCATTTCTTTTTTTTTTAAATGAACGGTATGTAAACCTGACCTTTATTGATCATCCACATAGGCTACATGTTTTTTTGATATACATTCAAGTCAGATATATCAAGAAATCTTCTCAGCCAGCTCATATTGCACCTTTACAAAACCCTCTGTTTTGAGTAAATATGACTCCCTTGCCATTGCGTCCTTTTTTTCCTTTGGGTACAATAGCAAAGATTGCTTCTCTATGCCTGAGGCACTTTCAGATCCTGGTCTCTTTTTTCAGCCAAAAAGACCACTTACCCTCGACAGCTCCTGTCCTAGTTTCCACTCAAACTAGTTTGGAAACAAGATGTGGGAAACAAACAAGTTTGAAAACAAGATGTGGGAAACAAACTAGTTTGGAAACAAGATGTGGAAAACAAGTTGAACAAGTACCATGACAAAAACCTGCGCCCATGTTTAGACTCCATAAACCTTATCTTATTGGACTGGCATCCAGCGCTGGCTTAGAGCCCACACACCTGCATGGATGTCTCCGAACACTAGTTTCACGTTACGGCGCCCTAAACTTGCGTTTAGGTAATGCATGGCAACTTTAATGAGGCGTGAAATCTGCAGTTATTTCAGGGCTTTCGCGATGTTTGGATTGTTTTATGAACATTTTGCTTGATAACACAAAGTATTGTCCTTGGGTGTGGGGTTCTTACGTAAACAGGAATCTACTTTGCAATTACAGCGTAGGCCTATGTCCTAGTCCAAATAGATTTCCTGTGCACAAAATTAGACAGGCAGAGCCACATATTTCCCATGATGGCTGGCATTTTTTGGTTTCTAGTTTGGCAAAATGATCTAAACAATAAATGATCTTCTTTCTGCAGCACTTAAGACTGTTTAGTAACCTGAGACAGCGTAGACCTCAACTAAGAATGTGAGTGGTTCTAATCAAACGCCCTATGGGATGACGCCTCGTCTTTTTTTTTGCACAGAAACCTGTAATTTATGTGAAAAGACTTCACGGCTGTAGCTATAATCACTGGCCTCAGTACCACATGCGATGTCCAAAAGAACATTATGTCTTTTCATCTTTACACTATGTGCGTAGTTTGTGAGTGATTCTATATTTTTTATTTTTTACCTTAGTGAAACAGAGTGTACCTCTACAATATTCTCAAACAAACATGAGCTGTCAATCCAAAATGTACAGGTCATGATTTAGTCGCGCTCTTTAAGGTCCACAAGTACTTGTAAAGCACATTCCCAAGTTTACTATGTTGTTTCCTGTTGTGATGCACCAAAAGCTCCTGAAGACATGCTTTGTAAAGGGTCACTGCTTCTTTAGCTGGGAGCTAAAACATCACAGCACCCAGATACCTTTAAGAAGCTGCCAACCCATATGCTGCCCACATGTGGAAAACAAGCTGAGAGGAATCCATACTGATAACACTTTTTTCAGATGTTTGCCAAAGAAATTGCGGTCAGATCGTAACACCTGTACCTGATTTTAAATCTCTGGTGTTTTATTTTTTAGCAGGAGCGCTCTGTCATTTTTCAGTAGGCCTATAACTGATTAAAGCATTGATACAATAATAATAAATAATATAGCATACTTTAGCAAATAATAATCAAAATGATGTGAATTGTACCACATTCCGCTCAGGATGATTTAAAACATGTCTAAATGAAGTTTTATGTAACAAAGTTCGGGAGGAGCATGTTCAGGTAATCATCCAATCAGCACAAGAAGATGCCAGTATAAATAAAGCCTTCCCTTACCTCCTGTCTCATGCCTAATTTCTCAGCATCCCACCACCACCCCTTCACCCCACATTCGGCTGGGTCCGCTCATAGATACCTATGATCTCTAAGGTCATGGGGGGAGTACTCTGGGGTCGGGCCGAATTCTGAGCTCGGAGCCCTCCCCCCGGACAGCAAGCCAAATACGCATTATAATATTACATCAGATTTCATTAACATGTAAACTCGTGAAATGACTCAAATTTTTAGTGTGCACAACCACTGAGTATATACTTTACAACAACAAAAAGGCAGAAATCAAACTCCTTTTCTTCTCCGATACATCAAAATAACTTCATGCCCTTAAAATATTTTTTTTTTATCCTCTGGTAGTTATTTTACAAACAAGGTCCTTTGGTGTAAGGGTAACAGTTCAGATTCATTTTCCTCCACAAGACATGGTTTATCTGTTACAAATATGACCACCTTTTCATAGTTTAAATGATCTACAAGACAGCAATGTTGATCTGACTATCATATTGTATATTTGCCTTACATGGGCTTTTCAGATTTTGTGGCCTTAACTTTGTTCTAATGTGAACAATGCCTCTTTTTCATTTATGACCTTTTGTGCTCATCCTCAAACAAGAACCTATTGTTGTTTCAGAGTTCCTTAAAAAACAGAGGAAACAAAGATGACCACAAATCAAAACTTTCCTACATGAAATTAAGATGCACTTTTACTGTACATTACTTACAAAACAGAGCATCATTTAGATGTTCTGCACATAGTGTTTTGTCTATTTGACTTTCGTTCAGGGACTTTAGCCAAATTAAACAAATCTTTTGTAAGGATTTTTCTGATCATCCCTCATTATTTCAGCTCCCTGATGCATTTTAATGAAGCAAACTACGTGCAGTTGGTGCACATGACAATTATGACTAATTTCCGTAACTGCATGCTTCTGGGAGGACAGAAAAGGTTGTGATCAGAGATACAAATGCACAGCCAAAGAGGACGACAGAAACGGATAGGAACTCAATCATGCTCAATCAGTGAATCGGGTGCGGACATCCTCTTTTATCCTGATAGATATCCTACGGGAGAGCCTCTGCTTATACAAAGACAATTACATGCATTCTCTATGGTCCTGCCTCATGTGCGTAACGTATATGATGCCTATATGTGAGAGCAGAGAGCTTGTGCTCTACAGAGTATGTTGCACTTTTTTGAATTCTGCAACATATTTGTTGGGAAACAGATGAAAGATTCTTAATAGATACTGGTATTTCAGGGACAGTTGTCGCAGGGACTAAAACACTCAAGATTGTAGCTGTTGCGTTTTTGGTTTATTTGCATAGCAGCACACTAAATTGAAATCTAAAGCGATGATAACAGAACAATGGAGATGTAAGATACATTCAAAGGTATAATGCGTAATGCTGGCCATTTATTTAAAGCCATTTTATTATCTGCATCTGTCATTATTCCACAATGACCTGGCCACAATCCAAATATATCTATAGTATTTGTTAAAACAAAATGATAATGAAAACAAAATCAACCAAACACACACATACACAATTATTTTTTTTTTAAATGTATTTATGCAATACACACCTGCTCAACCACACGCCTGCTTTCAAAAAGCTATCACACCCTATCACTTGCCCAGGCAAGTCTTCCACTTCTTGGTGGTTATCTTGTCCTCTTATCTTGTAAAGTTTTAAATAACTATACAACACAACAAATATTTGTTATGTGGCTGTGATTGTTGCCAATATGCTTAAATGCATAACAAACCAAACCAGTTTTCACATAGTACTAGACCGTATCTCTGTCAGCTGCCTTATTGTGCTGCAATGGCTTAAAATCCTTATTAAAGGAGCTGTATGTAAGAAATTTATTTCAATTAATCATAAAATGGCCCTGAAATGTCACTAGACATTAAGAAATCATGTACATTTCAAATACTTATATCACTGACAACAGTAGTCTGGCCAGGATATTGTCATTTAAAAAGTGCAGTTGCAGCCCTCAACTGATGTTGATGTTGTGTTTTGGTCTGATGCTCCACCCTCCACCTATCTACCAATCACGAAGTCAGTAGTGTTGCGGCATCCGGGTTGCCAGCTCTGCTCTAGTTACCACAGCTGCAGCTCGTCACGTTCCTGCTGGATCCTGCAGCCGATCTGGCAACCTCGAGTCAGGGAGGAGGGGGAGGGGATACACCACTCTACAGTAATTTGACAGTGATTGCAGTACTAGTTTTGGTCACAATCTTACATACAGCTCCTTTAAGTCAAGTTTCTTAATTACTTTCCGCTGGGCCTGGTCACTTCCTTCAGCAGCCTTATGATGGAACCGGCCCACCTGGACGCAACTTCACCTTCCAGCCCCGCTTCTCAGCTTCAGCTGCCAATACCGCAGCTTCTTCCTAAGCCTCCTCGATACCATAATACATATTTATTCAATATTTTGCATGCATGTTGTGAAGTTGTGCCTGGAGTGTAAAACTAATTGTACGTGTTCCACGTTTCAATTGTACCATTTGTCATGATGCAATGAAACACACCGAATTGTGTGGACATTATTATTGGGCAATTGGTCACACCAATCTTGGACTCATTATAATTCAATAAATCACTATGTAACAAGTATTAGTTATATTATTACATGTTATTTTGTGGGTTTTAGTGGAAATGGCCAGATGGAAGGAGCTGTCCTCTACAACCAAGGAGGATATAAATGGCTGGTCAATCATTTTTAGATATTGCTTATTTGTAGAATTATTTCAAAGCACAGTGAGACCACTACCATGCAGAATGTAAAGTGCTGTGGCTGGTCAAGAAAGACTATGAGCATTTTGACAGGATGGAAATCACCTGAATGGGTGGGACCACCCCAAATCAGCTTCTAAAGACATGGATGAGACCTCCAACCTCCAATTTCATCTTGAACTGTAAGCCAAGGGCTGGATTGAGAGGTTGGGGATGCATGTTTGCAGCAGGTGTTGGAAGGATGTACAATGTTGCTGGCACTTTGAAAATGGACCAATACTTGGGAATCCTGCTGAACACAATGAAGCCAAGAGTGGAGGATTTGTTCGGAGATCAAATGTGTATTTTCCAACATGATAATGATCCCAAACACACCACGAATGCAACAAAGTTGCAAGCAATGAAAGTGTTCTTGTGCTCAGCATTTTGAAGTGGCCTCCTCAGTCCTCTGACCTTAAAGCCATTGAAACCCTTTGGGAAATTATAAACCTGAATTGTGATAAGTCATACAGGGCTGCGATGAAGCTTAACTTTGGGAAGAACTTAAGGAGGATTTGAAAGAAGTTGCATGACAAATTCGCAAAGTTTAGTGAGTCAATGCCCAGGAGAATGGCTGCTGTAATCAAAAACAATGGAGAACCAACAAAATATTAGCCTTTTTTGCATAATACAATAAAAGTCATATTTAATTATATGCTGGAGTTTGCCTTTCTTGCCAAATAATTTAAATACCTTAACCAAGAATTAGTGTACTTCTTCCCAATGTAACATACTCCTCATATTGAGATTGTTTAATAGAACCTGAAGTGTCATTAAAAGCTAATATTGTGCAAATTTCCCCTCCAGACTGATCACTACTGTATATCAAATACTTAGTTTAGTTATCAAATTAACACTGATTTATAAATGTAATCAAGTACATATGTGACATGTATATGACTAGTCTAAAAGTGTGAACAAAAATATCACATAGGCTACTTTTCAAATAAGAAGTGAGAATGTGCAACACCAAGTGTTTCTGGCTTTGATGTACATGCTTGCATGTCAACCTCACATTTACCTCTCTCTCCTCAAAATATGTCTGCTTTACACCCTAACAACAAGCTTGCACAGGCGTGTTTTTCATTTCTTAGCTCTTGTCCTCAGCAGAAGAGCTGTACAAAGCAGTGAGTCAAAAGAAACAGGTAAAGTTAGTCTGATTATAATAAATCTGAAAAAAAAAAACAGTTAAGGTGGTGCCCTCCAACCCTTCAGTACAAGTTCCAGCAAGTGTAAGAGTAAGTCAACAGTACTTTATTGGAAATGTAACTATTACATGTAATATTTAATAATATAATATATATTTCATATATTTTACATTAATTCCTAATCACACTAATAACAACTTTCTTCAGTTAGGCTTATGCAATTAAAACATTATCTACATTACTGCTAAAAACATCACTTGTTATAAAAACATTCTGGCTTTCTTCAATGCCAAATCAGTATTTTAGAAGCATGTTTTGAATGTTATTATTGTTTTCCAAGAAAGAACATTCCTATTTTACATGCACATACAGAGAATGCAGCTTATATAACCATTCACTGTTAACTACACAGAATATCTTTTAAGTTTGATCTGTATTTGACCTGACGTTACCTTATATCTTTTTGGCAAGGTACAGACTTTTGTCTTTGATCAGAACCCAACCTCAGTTTTTCAAAATTCAACAGAGGGATGGCATTCTGCTTGCAAGAGCACAGTACACCCAACAGATGTGATTGTTTTCAAGATGTTGGATTAGAAAGGGATAACGTATAGTCAGATGGCCATTATAGCAAAATGAATGGTAATTTTTCTTTTAGAAATATTGATTTGATTTTGAATTATTTCAAGTGAGAAGCCTTTGCGTTGGATTCCGGTTGCATAAAAATAAGTTTTACAAGCTAGTCATCTTTTTTTCTACTTTATGACCGTTCATACCTTTTCTAAGTCAGTTGCATAAAAATGTAGATTAGTCGAATTTGATACAGAAAAGCAAGACTCTTGACTAACTGCTAGTGGGGCGTATAAGTTCTTAAGACATTGTGCAACTGGCCCCTTGTGTGTTAAAGTTGTGATAATTTCTTGCAATAACTTTATCCCACGGCTACACAACAAATAAATAAATACATGGAAACTGGGCATGAGCATGCAATTGGCAGTGATTCCCTGGACAGCGGTCAGTATCAAGAAAAAATATCAAGAATCAGAATCAAGCATTCCATGTAATAAGTTAATAAAGCCAATTCGGTTCTGTCAGTTTTCTTAGGAATGATACACAGGCCACTCTCACATTTATTTCTTCAATACATAATGCTGTTTAGTCGGTTAGATACGTTTCAAACAGTGGCGTGACTGTTCCATCTTTCCATTCAACAAGGATCTCGCCTCGCTGGATGGAGGGGGACTGAGCAGGTTTCATAGGGTGTCGGGTTAGAGGGGCTCTCTCACTAGGCACCGGAGACCCTGGCTGACTGACCTCTCCTGTCGGAGTGTAGGATTTCAGCACCACCACAGTCTTCTTCCTCCTGTGCGTGAAGACAAGAAATAGATCAGCCACTCATAAAGGAGGAAAACTTGTTACTGAGTCTTTCCTTGTTATGAAACCGATTTCAACCATCATAGATCAGTTGCATAACAATGAAAAACGGATCAATTTCCTCCCGATGCGTAAAATTAAATGCTGCCATTCAGAGTAACAATGCCTTGAAGGTTTATTTACCAAAAATAAGAAGAATCTTACCTGTTCTGGTAAATGTTAAGAGTGAGGATCACAAGCCCAAGTAACAGGGCCAAACAGCTTAGAAGCAACATTGTCATTTTCCAGCCTGTTCCTGTTATTAAAAACGTTATAAAACATCACCAACTAATTTTTACCCATTACTATTTTCTGTGTTTTTTTACTAATTTTCTGTCATTAAAATTCAGCAATCTTTCATCGGCTCGTGACCAAAGACATGGCACCGTGTTTAGGTTACCTGTCCTCTGCTGCCCTCATGTGGACATAAGGCAAATTAACTATTCCAAGGGGTTGAGTGTTTATAGCCTGTGTCCTGACCAATAAGCATTTAACTGTTAAAACGAATCAAACTTTCTGAAACAGATGAGAACTTACCATAGTCTGTTGTAAAAACATTAACAGAAGGTCCCCCAGGCTCTACGCTACTTTTAGGTTCAGCCGATGCCTCTGCAGTCTGTGTCGCTTCAGTTGACTTTATTTGTGAGGTCTGGACATTACTCCCAGCTTAAGTAAAGTAATAAAAAGATTATACAACTATGCTATACACATCATAGTGATTATTAGAAACAAAACAGACAATGTACACACAGGAACCCTGTCCTTTTTGACCAATCAATTTCAGACGTTCATGATCCATACGTTCTCTTACGAGAGTATCTCTCGTACTGCGTAATAGCTTACGCTAGGGGAAAAACTCTTTTCCGCAAGATATTGAAGCCAAAAATTATCCTTCATTTTTTATTAATGTAAAACGCTTTGCAGCAGCAAGCAGACATAGGCGAAACAGCTCGCGCGCCTATTGGTTGCTCTGCAGCAAATGCAGCAGCCTATCGAGAGAGACTCTGCGTGACGTAATGACCAATGGGGGCAATTCGCGCCCATATCGTCACGTCCCGCCAGAAGGGGCGTGGTCTCACCCTATAAATATGCTCGTTAGGCTGATACAAGCTGATTTTTACCTCTTCAGCGAAGCACACGCATCGCTGGATCCGGAGTGAGAAGCCGCGCCGTCGAAGCAAGCCTTTCAGCGGGACGAGCTCTGGAGTCGCTGGCCTCGCCGCCTTCAACTGCCGTACCTGCTGCGCTTTCCGGCGTTCTATATCCTTTCATACTCTGTGTGTATTTACTCTGTTGAGAGTGTTTGCTCGCTTACTTGACGCGACTCACACTTCTCTCACAAAAAGAGCTGCGTCTTTTTAAAGATGCCTTCCTGTGGCTCGTGCCGCGCCCCGCTCAGCGATGGAGACCGGCACGTCATCTGTGTTTCCTGCCTGGGTGAGGATCACGCGGCTCTCGCGCTCGCTGACGGCGGATGCCCTCATTGCGAGCTTTTGCCTATGGTGACTCTGAGGACTCGCCTGGCATCATTCTCCGAGCCTTCACCACAGCCCGCCGTGATGCCGCGCCGCGCCCAGCGCGCTCCCGAGCTTTCTCCAGCCCGCCAAAGCTCGCCGGTTCGCCCGCCAGCTTCGCCGGCTTCGCTCGAGTCGCTCACTGACGGACAACGGCCGCCGCCTGCCGCCGCGTCCATCCACGAGTTTGACGAACCCACCGAGGCGTGTTCTCTTCTGGCATCCGATAGTGAGGATTGGGCGAGCTCCGTGGATCTCCCCTCCGCTAGCGTTTCCCGCCAGACCACTGGTAAGAGAGCCGGCATTGAGACTGAGCTGATGCGTCTGCTCTCTCAGGCCGTGGAAAGCATCGGCCTCGATTGGGAGGCGCCCGCGCAACAGGCGAGCTCTGTGGACCTCCGCCTTCTGTCCGCGAGTCGTCAAGGTAACGGGCCAGCATCAAGACCGCGAGCCCTAAAAACCGCGGCTAGCTTTCTTTGCGTTATAAGAAATCTACCCCGCCCCCCATGGGCGTGCGTCACCGGCAAATGAGAAAAGAGTGTGTTTTAGTCCCCGCCGAGGCCGGATTAATCTCCATTTCTCAAACATTTCTCAGCTCCTAGTTTGAGCGGCTGAAAATGTCATTATTGCAGCAATGAGCCTGTTGTATAACACGCACACCTGCATACAAACGCCGACACACACAAAACTGTGATGACACTCTCTTATCTGCTTGCGCTAGTGTAGTTCTCCCTGTGTTCCAGTGGCGGAACCTGAAGCTTTCACGCGAGAGACCCGTGTTCGATCCCGGCTCTCGCAGCAGATAAAAATTTAGTCTCGCCGCGGCCAGACTTCCACCGAAACTTTTCGCTCGTTCAGTTCCAGAAAATGCGACTGTTCCAGTGTATTTTGCAGTAAACAAGCTGGTACCACGGCCCGCTTGCCTGCACATAAAGGCCGTTTCCATGGCGACCCAGAAAAATCATGTAATCATTGTATTTCTGGTTTTCCGGCCACAGCCGATGGTGTTATAAGTGTAATAAAATGCTCACAGCCCAGTGTTCATTTCTACACACAAACACAGCCCGCCACGGTACAGGGCTCGCACAAATGAAATCGATGCATGTCAATTGTGCATTAAATGTAGTGAATGTGCCCACAACCCAGTGCCCACAAACACTACCACGGTTTCTGTAAAACGAAACCAACACAAGTCTTCCTAGCCTCCTAGGAAATCGACGGTGTTTCAGTCTCGCTGTGGCCAGACTTCCACTGAAATTTTCGCTCGTTCAGTTCCAGAAAATGTGACTGTTCCAGTGTATTTTGCAGTAAGCAAGCCAGTACCATGCCCGCTTGCCTGCACACAAATGCTGTTCCCACGGCGACCCAGATAAATCACATAAATGGTGTATTTTCTGGTATTCCGGCCACAGCCGATGGTGTTATGAGTGTATTGAAAATGCCTACAACCCAGGGCTCATTTCTACACACAAACACAGCCCGCAAAAATGCAGGGCTCGCACAAACAATCCGGCCACGGCCGATGGTGTTATGAGTGTTGTAAGAATGCCCACCCAGTGCCCATTCCCACACCCAGACACAGCCCGCCACGGTGCAGGGCTAGCACAAATAAAATCGACTCAGGTCGATTGTGCAAACAATGTAGTAAACGCGCCCATGTCACCATGCCCGCTCACACTACATGCTGCGTGTCCCTTGGTTTCTGTAAAAACGAAACCAACACACATTCAGTCGGCCATGAACGACAGTGTTTTCAGTGTAATAAATGTGCCCGCAGCCCCGCGCCCACATTTTCTCACAGACACGCCGATTCCTACGGGATCTCCCCGGCTCGCTTTTTCTGCACAATCTGCCATAAAAAAGCTGAGCGCGGTCAGGCCGCCCGCTGTGATCAGCGCACCCCCCGCCTCGAACGCTGTAAACACGGTGTTGTGTTCCCAGTATGCCCGGGCTCTCGAGCTGCCGTTTTGCCGCGACCAGAGCCCGGATTTCATTCTGCCCCTAGCTATTCACGCAGATGCGTGGTCAAAGCTTCCCGGGGTATCAGAATGGGTGCTGAACACTATAAAGAGAGGCTATTCGCTACAATTCGCTCGACGCCCGCGCCGTTATACGGCGCGTGTCGAAACTACGGTGAAAAACGAAGTGTCTCATCTACTTCGTGCCGAGATAGCGAAACTACTGAGCAAAGGGGCTATAGAACCTTTATCTCAGGCTCAGAGCGAAGGGGGCCTATACAGCAGATATTTTCTGGTGCCGAAAAAGGATGGGGGTCTCAGACCCATTTTAGATCTACGACAGCTGAAAAGAGTGCTTGTCAAACGCCAGTTCAGGATGCTTACGACCAGGAAAATCCTCGCGCAATTGCGCCACGGGGACTGGTTTATGTCGATAGATCTGAAAGACACCTATTTCCAAATACAAATAGCGTCCCATCACAGGCGATTCTTGAGATTCGCCTTCGGGGGCCAGGCATATCAATGCACAGTCCTGCCGTTCGGCCTGTCCCTAGCACCTCGTACATTTACGAAGTGCATGGACGCGGCGCTCGCACCCCTGAGACTTCAGGGCATGCGAGTCCTGAACTACTTGGACGATTGGCTGATTCTAGCTCGATCACGATCGGAGCTCATAGAACACAGAGCCGCATTACTCGAGCACCTCGAGGAGCTGGGCCTCACAGTCAATTGGGCGAAGAGCTCACTGTCTCCCAGTCAGAAAATTTCCTTTCTGGGAACCGTGTTGGACTCGCTGTCCATGACAGCACGCCTGTCACCAGAGCGCGTGCTAAATATTCAGCGCGGCGTGAAATCCTTCCGCCACGGCGCGATAGTTCCGCTCAAAAGGTTTCAGAAAATGCTGGGGCTGATGGCCTCAGCAGCCTCTGTACTCCAGTTGGGCTTGCTCCGCATGCGCCCACTGCAGATGTGGCTGAAAGCGCGGGTTCCACCCAGGGCATGGACAGCGGGTCTGTTTCGCCTCAGGGTCGACCTTCAGTGTGTTTCAGCTCTGGAACCTTGGAAAATAACCGACTGGTATCAGTCAGGTGTGAGTCTGGGGACCGCTTCGAGTGTGAAGGTGGTGTCTACGGACGCCTCCACCTCGGGGTGGGGAGCGCTGCTCGAGGGCAGACCGCTAGCTGGCCTGTGGTCAGAACGGGAAAAGCTCCTTCACATAAACTGCTTGGAGATGATAGCAGTCGACAAAGCGCTACGGCGTTTTTCTCCCCAGGTAACAGGCCACCACGTCTTGGTCCGGTCGGACAACATGTCAGTGGTGGCATACATAAATCGCCAGGGCGGCGTCAGGTCACGAAACCTTCACAGGCTGACGGAACGCCTCCTGGTCTGGGCTCAGCACAACCTGCTCTCACTGAGAGCAGCGCACGTGCCTGGTCACCTGAATGTGGGACCAGACAGACTGTCCAGGAACAATGTTCCAGCAGGGGAATGGTCGCTGCACCCGCAGACGGTCCAGCTGCTGTGGAAAACGTTCGGCAGAGCACAGGTGGACCTATTCGCGTCCCACGAAAACGCTCATTGCCCGGAGTTTTTCTCGAAAAGCAAGGACGCGCTGGCTCATGTTTGGCCCCGCTGCCCCCTATATGCTTTTCCTCCTGTCTCGCTCCTGCCTCAGGTGTTGGAACGAATCAGGGAGAACGGATGCCCAGTGCTGCTCGTAGCTCCGCTCTGGACAAACCAGACGTGGTTCCCTGCCCTGATGCAGCTGACCAGCACTGCCCCATGGCCTGTACCGTTGAGGAGAGACCTCCTCTCTCAGGCGGAGGGCTCGATTTGGCACCCTCGCCCGGAGTTGTGGTCCCTGCACGCATGGGCCATCAACGGGTACCCGCTAGCCTCCCAGAAGGAGTGTTAAACACGATCGCGCAGGCTAGAGCTCCGTCTACCAGGCGGCTCTACTCCTCGAAATGGTCTGTTTTCTCTGCATGGTGTCAAGCCCAGAGCTTTTCACCTGTGGAATGCGGGGTTTCGGAAGTGCTTTCCTTCCTTCAAGAGCTACTGGATAAGGGCAGGACCCCATCCACGCTCAAAGTATATGTGGCGGCCATAGCAACGTTTGCAAAACCGGTGTCTGGCCAGTCGCTGGGGAAAAACGACTTAGTCGTGCGTTTCCTTAGGGGAGCTCGGAGGCTGAACCCTCCCAGGCCCCCTTCAGTCACGACGTGGGACCTTTCCACGGTCCTGGAGGCCATGAAAGGCGCCCCGTTCGAGCCAATCCAGCTGGTGGACATGAAACACCTGTCGTTCAAAACAGTGTTTCTCATGGCTCTCGCTTCAGTGAAGCGCATAGGGGACTTACAGGCGCTTTCAGTAAGCGCGTCGTGTATGGAGTTTGGGCCTAATGACTCGAAGGTCATTCTCAAACCAAAGCACGGGTATGTCCCGAAATCCCTCAATACACCGTTCAGGGCCCAGGTAATTTCCCTGTCCGCCCTTCCGGTTCTCAGTGAGGAGGAGGATGCGAGTCTCCTTTGCCCCGTCAGGGCATTGAGAGCTTATGTGTCACACTCGTCTGTTTTCAGACAGATGGAGCAGCTTTTTGTTTTGTTTGGCGGGCGTTCCAAGGGACTCGCCGCCTCAAAACAGAGCCTATCCAGATGGATAGTGGATGCCATTGCGCTCGCTTACTCTGCGAAGGGCCTACAGTGCCCCTTGGGTGTCAGGGCGCACTCCACGAGAGGCGTGGCCTCTTCGTGGGCATGGTCAAGCGGGGTTTCCCTGCAAGATATCTGTACGGCCGCGGGCTGGGCCTCGCCGTCTACATTTATAAAATACTATAACCTGGAGGTACCCGCCTTACAAGCTAAGCTTTTGGCGGTCTAAAATTCAGTGCTATCTGCCCCGCTGTGCGGCCCAGATGCTGAGTTTACTGCAGCCCCATGAGTGTTGACACACGTATGGCCACCCAGATCAGGCTGAAAGCTTTCACCCTGGCTGCGCGTTTTATTGTCATATAATAGCCCCGCTGGGTGCTTTTTTATAGGGAATGACGCTTCCAGCCTCTCTTCCTCCACTCTATGTGAGTTTATGGTGATTATGCACTACATGAGCCCTGGGCTTCGGCCCCCGGGACTTTGGTGTTGGATCCCTGTACGCACGGCGTGTTGCATTGTGTTCCCCTAGCGTAAGCTATTACGCAGTACGAGAGATACTCTCGTAAGAGAACGTACTCGGTTACTAACGTAACCTCGGTTCTCTCTAGAGAGGGAACGAGTACTGCGTATCTTGCCGTGCTTGGAATACGCTCTGGTTCGCTTCAGTGATAAAAACCAGCTTGTATCAGCCTAACGAGCATGTTTATAGGGTGAGACCACGCCCCTTCTGGCGGGACGTGACGATATGGGCGCGAATTGCCCCCATTGGTCATTACGTCACGCAGAGTCTCTCTCGATAGGCTGCTGCATTTGCTGCAGAGCAACCAATAGGCACGCGAGCTGTTTCGCCTATGTCTGCTTGCTGCTGCAAAGCGTTTTACATTAATAAAAAATTAAGGATAATTTTTGGCTTCAATATCTCGCGGAAAAGAGTTTTTCCCCTAGCGTAAGCTATTACGCAGTACTCGTTCCCTCTCTAGAGAGAACCGAGGTTACGTTAAGCCTAGTTCACACTAGAGGATTATAAGCCCGATTTAAGCCCGATTTGCAAATCGTTGAGCTCGCCGACAGGTCAGGGTGTTATCACGTGCAAATCGCGGGGGATTAGCGGACGATGGACGCTCGCCAATCTGTTAGTATGAAAGAGCCAACAACGCATCAAAGACGCTCGCTGACGCCTCGCAGACGCGTCGCCGAGCCCAGAAAAATATCTAGCATGCTAGATATCCAGAGCTGTCGCCCGACTCAACCTCAGTGATGTCATGAGCTACAGCCAATCAGAGCAAGGCATGGGTTGCTCCAATCAGAGCAAGGCATGGGTCTTCGTCTTCTTCGCTGGGTATTAGCGCGCGTGATGTTTCGCGTCATTTCCGGTTCGTTTTATCGCGTGATTTTTTGTGACAAAACGTGGTTTGTAGACAAGATAGAATCGTAGGGTGACAGAGTTGTTGTCAACTCGTGTAGTGCGTCACCTCCTGTTGCGGATCAATCACGTTGTGTCGTGTGGTGTGAACAGCTCAACAACTTGAACACTCCTGATTTCACAGAGAGCAAGTCATGTAGTGTGAACCGGACAGTTCAGCCCGACGTTTTAAAATCATGTAGTGTGAACTAGGCTTTAGTAACCGAGTACGTTTTTTTTATTTTTTTTTATCAGATATTTTTGGGAAGGAATTCCATTTTGTATGTCAGGTACCAATCCTTGGAATTAAGAAATGTAAATAATGATGTACAATTAATAATTAATGATAACTTATTTGTGTCAGCCTGAGATTTGAATGTGCCTCAATTGAGAATTTGGCTTTCTGAACCTTCTAAACAAAAATAGTCAGTGACATTTTATTACACTTATAAATATCACTCAATCTTCTCTGATATTGCCAGGTTTTTCAATACTGTGGGGACCCTGGTTCAAATTTAGTAGGACAAGATGAGAAAGTAAAAAATAAAAACATGACAGAGGATGATATGGTCTCGTATGACAGGAGTGACCTTCAAGAGACGCTGAGCTGAATTCTGTGGAGTTTTAACTGAAGAAGTGGATGAGATGCCATTAATCAAAATGATGGGATGACGGAATGCAACACAAACTCCTACTCTAACTCTCTTACAATGCCAATATCGAATTTGTGTGTGGATTCGGGGTCCAGTTGAAAGTGTCTGCTGAGACTCTTGCAACACATTCTGGCCGTGATGTGTCCTGTCTGTATCCTCGCATACCGTTTGATTAGCCATTGTCCTCCACTTGCTGCCTTTCCCACGATCTTTGGAAAGGAAGACCTTGGAGGAATCGTGACGTACGCTCAGGTGCAGACCCTTGCTGTGTAATGTCAGGAGACCCTTTTTAGAGCAGCTCCAGGTCTGGCCCTCACGATCCTCCTCCTCAGAGCTGCAAGCTTGCAGCCAAACACTCTCATGCTCCTGGATCTGGGGTGCAGTTAGACACCCTCCTGTCTGCGGGCTGCTGAGAGAGCGTGTCTCTGGGTTCCAGTGCCACTCTTGCAGAGCTGAATCTGCCCTGCACTCTTGCAGGGTTAACCTACTGCTGACTTGACCTTCATTTGCCTGTACACACTTCCTCAGCTCTTCATTCCTGATCAAGAGTCCTGTAACTTCTACAAGGGAAAATAGATATTATTGTTGCTTATAATACTTACGTTAGGTAACATTGGCAAATTCATATTGCAAATATGGACAGTGGGCTATGTGGTAAAATACATCTTTAATCATGCATCAAAACCTCAAGGTGATTCTTCAACTATGGTACTCTTTGAGCTAGACAGTTTCAGAAAATAAAAACATTTCTACAAACAGTTTATTAGTATCATTTGGTTTCTCAATCTGTCTAGAAACCTTTCCTTAAGTTGGCTGTGCTGATTTGTATTGAATAATATATATATATATTGCCATTTTTATCTGACAGTCCAAGAAAACGGTCATTTCCATCACATAGCAAAACATGTGTTTTGAAGAGAAAATAATTAAATATCTTCTGTAATAAATATATTTGATTAAATAGCACACACATCTCTGATCAAATTTGTAATTGATTTATTTTTCAGAAATGTAACTGTAAAGATTTTACAATGTTTACACTAAAAACACCTAAAACTAGATGCCTGGAACATTTCATTTACTTATTATAGCTCAAAATCATGTATTTCTTAAAGTGTATACACATATCTTACCCCTAACTGCACAATTATCAACACCACTGAATATAGTTGGTTTGATTGTATGTTTTTTATATGTTTTACTTTAAAATATGTGATGTGGTGGAAATGACATGGCGTGGCGGAAGAGACAGTGTGTGGCGGAAATGACATAGATAGGCAACTTCCAATTAAAAACTCTTTTTCTACTGCTCTATGTGGTGAACCAGAGCAAACCAATAAGCAACAGCATTAGTAAACAAAAACATATCAATATTTTTAAATAAAAAAAAATAAAAAAAATGAAAAAACATGAATATGTGTTAAAAATCAGCAAATCATTTATTCACTGCTTTCTACATGCTGAACTTGGACAAACTAGTTCAAATTAGAGCAAACCCTTTATGACATCATTACCTTAATATAGCCTTAATATACACAAGACACAATACACAACCCTCAGGGTCCACATCCTGTATAATGCCAGGGTAAGGATCCCCATCATACCGTACCACACACCAACTTCCTATCAGTCCCTCACACTGTCAAAAATTGCTGTAAAAAAAGGGCAAATATTTGACAGTAACATGCTAGTTTCCATTAAAACAGCAATATACTGTAGAAAAAAATGCATTCTGGGTGATATATGTAGTTTTCGAGAAAGTAGCCTACAGGAATATACTGTGAATTAACAGCGCTCAAAGTCAACACTCTATACCCTCAGTCACTATTCCCTACATTAGTTCACTAATATAGTCCATTTGACTGAGTGATTAAAACAAGTGAGTTAATTCAGACACTGATGAACACCTGCTGTTAACAAGCAGAATCACTGAAGGAAAGAGGAACAAGAAGAACAGAAAAAAGATGAAATCAACTGAAGATAAAAGACATTAAATCTGTGAGGATCTCAGCAGAGGAGGATTAAACAACTCCACAAACAGCATTACCAGCTTCACTTATTACTAACCAGTTTGACTTTATGTCTGACGTCTACAGAAGTTATTATTAAAAGGTGACAGAGGTTTAGATGTAATTTTATTTTCATTTGATGTTACCATGATGGTGATCAGTGTTTGGTTTAGTTGGGCTCTTGACCCTTCACTTTTGAACATTAGTTTTTCTTTGGCAGTCACTGTTTTTTTATTGTCAAAACAGACATAAATAGTTTTGTAATATAAAGCAAATTACATTTCTAAATGGCTTGGGGACAGAAGGAAAACAGTAAAAATCATGCATAAAAGGTCTCATAATATATAATAAAAAGAATGATTGAGCCATGATAAATTTTTTATAAGTTCCCCTTACGGTGAAGTAAATGTGCCAAAAACAAAAAAAGAAGAAAGGTTTTTTAGATTTTATTATTTCATCCAGGGACAAGAAAAGTACCATAGTTAAAGAATCACATAGCAAATAACATATTTACCAACTTTCATAATATTCATGAAGCTGTATATAGCCTACTAAGTGTGAACGGTCTGGGCTTTTTTACAGAAACATCCTCAAAATCCTATGTGTTTAGTAGCCATCTTAATTTAATTTAGGAAATTGCACTTTTTTAAATCTTAAGTGAAGTCGTTAAGACAGGAAGTTTCTGTAATACAGCCAAGTAGCGACTTCTACTGACAAATGGTAGAAATAAACACTGAAATAAAGATAGCACATGCTCTTTACCTTCAAAAACAAGCGTTGTGAGAACAAAAGTGCAGAATCCTCTCCAAACAACATCCATCACCCCGGCTATACAGCGCAATAACAACATATTAGACTTTCATATTACAGTTAGCTGTTCTGATACAAATAGGGAGTAAAGTAATCATTCTCACCGCGCCTGATATAAAGCAAAGCAGAAAGTGAAGAGCGACGATGTTGATCCGACCGATAGTTGACACTGTAGCGCAACATATTTTCACTTGAAAGAAGACTGGAAGTTTATGGCGCATGAAGAGCAAAAGTGTTCAAAGAGTGAGTGCAGAATACTAATTAACAAAAGACGACGAAAGGCAATTAAGTGCTCTGCTATGTTGGGGGAAAGACAGTAAAACTAAGGGAATCACGACAACAACCATTGTGCACATTAGCCTACATGAAACTCGAGTTATCCTATTAATGTAAAAGACGTGTATTTTCAACATCACCAAACAATAATAGTGAGGGGGAAACTTAACTGTAATCTACAGAAGATTTACAAAGAGAGTGCTCATTTTATGAGGCTCAGCCATTTGAATGGCATTCCATTCAAGCTGAGATGACAGAGCTTCTGTTCCCGTTGCTGTGTTGTTGCTAAGTTGGCGTCGACAGAGTCAGTCAGACGACGGTATATTTAAAAAGAATGGGAGTGTGAGCAAAAACACTTCAGAATTGTTTCACCTATTTGTGTTTCCATGGTGCAGACAGAGTAAAATAATGATACAAAATCACTCCAAAATGCCACTTTTGAAAAGGAAATAAACACTTTTGCTATAAAATATGCTCTACCTAAGGATAATTTATCTTTGTACTTCTATTACTATTTTGCTAAACAAATAGCCTAAATTAGCCTTTGGCTGACAAGCGAGTAGAGCATTTTTACAACTGCATGATGCTACATCCACACCAGGTCTCAGTATAGTCAAGAAGACAACTGATACCAGCCAAAGATCACATCAAAGTGAGGATATTTGTCTATTCTGAGCGTGGAACAAACCTTTAAATTAAGAGTTGTGTTACAAGTATATCAGTAATGTCATCTACACACTGCTGTATAGCCCTTCAACATATCATGCAGATGTGTTTTCTCAAATAATGTTCTTACAGAATCTGAATTGCAGTTAATAGCATTTCCGATAGAGATCAGTGACTGTAATTGGGCAGTTTTCTGTCTTCATCACATAGTCAAAAGATAGCCTGGACTCTGCCTTCCCTATGTCTGATGCCCATTAGGCCTATACATGATGGGGCCCATGCTCACTTTCACAAGCCCCATACCCACAACCTCTCTGGCAGGTCTCTTATACACAGATTCATTCATTTGTTCCTCCCCCTTGCTGTCTTCAAATGCACACATACAGTATGCTACTTTGTGGTAAGCAACTGATCTTATTGTGTGTTTTGTTACATACTGTAACTTTTTTACTGCTAACATTTTCTATTACTTTTTTTTTCATGGAAATTTTAGATTTTGTATTTGATATTTTGTTTAAGGAAAATGCTTTGGTTTTCATTGAGAGGCCTAAAGAAAAAACATTCTGCTCAGGTCTTTCAGAAGGAGGAACCTTTGTACCTCCCACAGAGTGCTAACAATTAGATCTTTCACAACTGAATATCAAAAGAGATTTTGATATGTAGGAGGGTTACAGGGAGCCTCTTGTTTGTCAATGTGCTGCAAAAGAGTGTAATGAGGATAATCTTTATTTTTTTATTGGCAAAAACCCCCAAAAACAAATAATATGTGGATTTGTTTGTTTGAACAACTAAATCTGTATTAACCCTTTTATGTATAGAGGTCACTAGTGGACAGCTATTAAAAAGCCATTTTGTGTATGCATTATGGCATAGTTGCACATAGTGCATGTGTCATGATTCCTGTCTTGTGTTCCACTTGTCTTGTGTAATACTTTTGTCATTTCCTGTCTTGTGCTAAGTTTTGTAGTCCTATTTTTCATGTTGATTCGTCTCCCCAGGTGTATCTTGTTTCCTCATTATCTAGTTAAGCTTGTTTGCCCTGCCCTGTGTATTAGCCCTTGTGTTTCACTTGTTACTTTGTCAGTTGTTGTACATGTATGGTTGCTTAGTTCGGTCCTTCTCATGATTTTATTTCGTTGTCCCTGGAGTTCTTTATTATTATTTTGTTCTATGTGTTATTTAATTAAAACCTCGCAGATCCTCGCCTTCGCCTGGTTCTCTTACGAGAGGTTCTCTCGTATTGCGTAAGCTAGCTTACGCTACGGGAAAGATTCATCTTTTCTGAATTATTGAAGCCAAAAAATTATCCTTAATTTTGTATCCATTGTCAACGCAGTGCAGCAGCTGCAGACCTTGAGCAGGCTATCTAGCGAGCTCATTGGTCGCTTTGCGGGAACTGCTGCAGCCTGTGGACGGACAGAATGAACTCGCGTCCAATGAGAGGCGCTCGCGCCTTCATCACGTCACAGCCCGCCAAACTGGGCGTGGCTAGAGTGTATATTAGAGCGGTCCAAAGGCTGCCTCCCTGATTTTCATCTCTTCAGCGAAGCTCTTCGCATCTGATCCACAGAAGCCGCGTCGCCGTCTGAGAGGCATTTTAGCGAGCTTGGACAGCGCTTGAAGAAGCCGGCCGCCTTCGCCACCTTCAGCCATCCGGCAAGCTACGCCATCCGGTGACGTATCCTTTTAGAGCTAAGCTAGTTCCTCAGGGAACTTCACAAAAGAGCACGAGCGTCTTTTTAAAGATGCCTCGCACCAACTGCGGCTCATGCCGCACCCCTCTCAGCGCCGGAGACCACCATCTCATCTGCGCTCTCTGCATGGGACTGGAGCACGCAGAGCTCGCTCTCGCTGACGGCAGATGCGACCTCTGCGAGGAGCTTCCGATGTCGACCCTGCGGGCTCGACTCGAAGCTTTTAAAACCGAAGCCGCCGCGCCGCCTTTCGTCTCGCCGCGCAAGAAAAAGCGCCGCTCCCAAAGGCCGCCAGAACCGATGACAGAAGCGACCGTCTCGCCGGAGCCTCTCCCTCGAGCCTCGCCTTCAGCGAGCGGCCGCACTGCTGCCATTTCGGATGACGAAGCGGAGGAGAAAGACTGTTGTTCCGTCTTGGCTTCGGACAGCGAGGAGTGGTCAGGCTCTCTCGCCTCCTCCTCGGCCCGCGAATCCAGCAGGACCCGCGCCGGAGTCGAAGAGGAATTAATGCGCCTCCTCACACAGGCCGTCGACCGCCTCGGGCTCGAGTGGTCACCGCCCCCTGAGCAGGCCCCCAACAGACTCGACGGCTGTTTTCTACAGAGCCGTCGCCGCGCGGCGCACGCGGCCCGGGCCGCTCCCTTCCTGCCGGAACTCCACGCCGAGCTCACTAAGTCGTGGAACGCGCCTCTCTCGGCTAGGACCCGCTCCCATGTCTCCACCTCTCTTTCTTCAGTGGATGGCGCTGCCGAGAAGGGTTATTCCTCCATCCCTCCGGTTGAGGATTCGGTCGCAGCGCACCTTTGCCCGCCCTCCGCGAGATGGCGGTCTAAGCCTACGCTCCCGTCTAAGGCCTGCAGAACCACTTCCGCTTGCGTTGGCCGCGCTTATGCCGCCGCCGGCCAAGCCGCATCCGCTCTGCATTCCATGGCCGTCCTACAGATCCTCCAAGCGGATCTGCTTCGAGAGTGGGATGAGAAAGACAGGCACTCAGAGGCTGTATCAGACTTAAGGAGCGTGACGGACCTTTCTCTTCGCGCCATGAAAGCTGCAGCCCAAGCCCTGGGAAAGTGCATGGCCTCTGCCTCTTTCAGACGCACTGAGCAACTTTTCGTTTCGTTCGGAGGGCGCACCAAGGGTCTCGCCGCCTCGAAACAGACACTGTCTAGATCAGGTGTGCCCAACCCTGCTCCTGCCGATCGACTGTCCTGCACAGTTCATCTCCAACCCTAATCAAACACACCTGAAGCAACCAATTAAGGTCTTCAGGATCTGAAGCAACCAATTAAGGTCTTCAGGCTCACTTGAAAATTAAAGGCAGGTGTGTTTGATTAGGGTTGGAGATAAACTGTGCAGGACAGTCGATTGGCAGGAGCAGGGTTGGGCACACCTGGTCTAGATGGATAGTGGACGCTATTGCTGCTGCGTACGCGTCAAAAGACCTGCCATGCCCGTTAGGCATTAGGGCTCACTCCACTAGAGGCATGGCCTCCTCGTGGGCGTGGTCCAGCGGGATTTCCATTCACGACATATGTGTGGCAGCGGGCTGAGCTTCCCCCTCCACCTTTGTCAGATTTTACAATCTGGAAGTACCCGCCCTGCAGGCTAAATTGCTAGCGGTCTAATACGCTACAGCTCTCCTGGTGAGCTGCACTGATGGGAAACTCTCCACAGACCGGCACTACCGCTCTGTCTCTCTTCCCACTATGTGCTTATGTATTGCATTCACACTGGCCCGCGCTTTTGCTGGCTAAAATGCTTTCCCCACTCATAGGGCTCCCCGGGGTTTTTCTCCCCCTGGGCTCATGCTGTGGATGCTTGGCGCGCACGCCGTTGACAATGGGTTCCCGTAGCGTAAGCTAGCTTACGCAATACGAGAGAACCTCTCGTAAGAGAACGAATCGGTTACCTAACGTAACCTCGGTTCTCTCTAGATGAGGGAACGAGTATTGCGTAGCCGGCCGTGCTCGCGCCACGAGCGTTTTTCGCTTCATTCTATGAAAACCAGGGAGGCAGCCTTTGGACCGCTCTAATATACACTCTAGCCACGCCCAGTTTGGCGGGCTGTGACGTGATGAAGGCGCGAGCGCCTCTCATTGGACGCGAGTTCATTCTGTCCGTCCATAGGCTGCAGCAGTTCCCGCAGAGCGACCAATGAGCTCGCTAGATAGCCCGCTCAAGGTCTGCAGCTGCTGCACTGCGTTGACAATGGATACAAAATTAAGGATAATTTTTTGGCTTCAATAATTCAGAAAAGATGAATCTTTCCCATAGCGTAAGCTAGCTTACGCAATACTCGTTCCCTCATCTAGAGAGAACCGAGGTTAGGTTAGGTAACCGATTCGTTTTTCCAGCACGTTACAGAAAAGAAATAAAACCATGAGAAGGACCGAAGAAGCAACCGTGTACAACAACTGACAAAGTAACAAGTGAAACACAAGGGCTAATACACAGGGGCAAACAAGCTTATAGATAATGAGGAAACAAGATACGCCTGGGGAGACGAATCAACATGAAAAACTACATAGGACTACAAAACTTTGCACAAGACAGGAAATTACAAAAGTACACACAAGACAAGTGGAACACAAGACAGGACAGCATGATACACTGCTACCAAGTGGCAATTCTTTGTATGTGGATTTTTTTTCTCTCAACCAAGATGTCCTTCGGAATATCCATCCATTCCTTAGGAGACTTGCATTAATAAATAAAAAAAATTTTGTAACATCCAAGGAATCGTGTCATTGTTAAATTGATAAAATATGTGTACAATTTATGCAAAATGTAACATATGTGTTCAAAAACGGGTTTTAAATTGGTTTAAAATCTTGTTTTTCATGCCCTAGAAGCAGCAAAAACACATAAGGAAAAAATCCTGATTGTGGTTATCATAATTCATGCATTTAAGGGTTAAGGTTAAAAAAAAAGAAATCACCAGAAACAATAATCATACAATAATTAAATTTTTTATAATGTAACTTTAATAAAGTAAAAACACTTATTTGTATTTTGGGCTGGGGATTTTATGATATTTAGAACATATTATACACAATTCATTTTTGTATAATATTATAAAATAAATATAAACATACATTTCGTTCTATCTTCACTTAATGCATTATTTTAGTAAAAAATCAAGGAAAAGTATCTATTTCAAACGAGGCAGATTAGTGCCTTCTGGTGCAGGGGAAAAAACTGAATGTATATTTTCCCAAGCTGTTGAGAAGGTGATGATCTGCATCCTCTAAAAAGGCGATTTTTTTGTGTGTGCTCTCCTCATCAGACTCAGAGAGTGTCAAGGAATGTGTCATCTTCTTATGTGCACCAGTGTTCTCTAGCTCCACCATAATTTTGTTCTTATACCCTCAGTTCCAGGAATGATTTATTTTTTTCCACAGCACAAAAAAACCAATGGAAACATCCAGCATGTTGAAAAACAGTGCCATAGGCCAGCGATTTGTCCTTCTGTGGGAGCTCTGGCTTGTTCCTGCACACAGTTCCAACCATGGTCAATTTTCTCTGAAGATTCTCTGTGCAAAGGGCATGCAATGTGAAGAAATAGTCGCACGTTACTGTGTGTCCCTGGAGTGCAGCTGTCACTACAATGCGTCTGCCCTGATTTCTTTCAGGCTGTGCCCCACCAATTTTCCTGTGTAGACTGGCAAATTCCAGGCATAGCTTCTACTGGCATCACAGGCTGCCAAGATTTTAATGCAATATTTGACAGGTTTACTTGTATTAAACCCATTAAACCCATTTTTCCCATCTGCCACTAACATTTTGTTGTTTTCTCTCCTGGCACATCGTTTCTTTGTCATCAAATCGGATGACCCTTAACAATTTTTGAAAATTGCACAGTGGCATGATGGCCCGAAAAATCACCCTCCCTGATGCCATAGTTGTGGCTTCATTGTGATATTTGTAGACACCAGCAAACATGAGAAGACAAATAAATGCTTGTATATTTGTCCAGCCTAAAATCAGCAAACACAAATTTGTCACTTTAATCATTTGAACTTTATAGAAAAATAATTTTGATGATTTAAATGGTCATGAACACACCCCATTTTAGCACTGCTGTTTCAGAACATCAGTTACAAAAAGGTACAGGGCCAGGCTTAGCATTAATCATTATACTGTACAAAATATTGTTTAGCATGGTAATTAGATATTGATTATAAATCCAATATTTTTCCCAAACAATATAGGCTAATCTATGAAACTATTCAAATGATAGCATCTGTTTGAAACAATATATGTATATTAAAAATAAAATAAAAATAGACAGATAGATAGATAGATAGATAGATAGATAGATAGATAGATAGATAGATAGATAGATAGATAGATAGATAGATAGATAGATAGATAGATAGATAGATAGATAGATAGATAGATAGATAGATAGATAGATAGACATATGGATAGATGGATAGATTGAGCAAATAATTTAAAAAAGATGTAGCCTATGTCTTTAAGACGCTCAGAAGCGTGCGTCGCTTCGTACACCGCAGATAATTGTGACGTTCTACACAAGTACACATGTCTGCTCCGTCACTATGGCTGCAAGAGACGCGAGATGGTGGTGAGACCTTGCTTGAATACAATTAGACAAAAAAAATCCATTATACTTCTTCTCCGACGTTGACTGGTCTAATAACATGCGAAACTGCGTATGCTATTTCCATTAGGTGCCATTTTATTAACTAGTGGCACTGAAACGAAGAGGATTAACAGGAGAACCCAATTGCCTTCATTCAGGCTTGGCTAGAATTAACCTTAACGTTATTTATGTATCACGCGCGATTACATGGTAAATAATAATGTCAGGGATTAATTAAATGTCAGTGTGTTGTAACTGGAAAAGAAGCAGTATTTTATACTTTACACCTTGAACCATGCTTGACATACCGCTAAAATCCGATTTAGTGTTGGTTTGAACAGGACCGTCCTAATTCTCTAGTCTCAAGAAACTCTCAGGATTTACAATTGCCCATTTTGTTTGGAACTGATTTCCAATCAACATCCTTACAACATCCCTACTCTTCAAAAATGGCGAAAATGTACCACAAAGAGAAAAGCATTCCGATAAAGAGCAGCGCGTCTGCGCTCTACAACAACCTGAGCGTCCTGCGCATCGCGCCGCGCTGCCTCACCTATTTCACGGTGGTCCACGCCAACGTGGTAAACATGGTCAGTGCGTCCTGGGACGGCCTGAATTATTCCCACCGACAGCTGCAATCTAAAGAGGGCAACGTGACCACCAGCTCCTCACTCATCATGCAGGTAAGAGGATTTGAGCCCTACTAAAAAAAGTTGATTATCTTGTTTTAGTGCCGGTTTCCTTACATTGTTTTAATGCTGTCACTATTTTAACACCCTAAATTGGTAGGCTGATAGTATTTGTACTTTTCATTGTTTTAACATCTAACCCTAGATCATATTTAACTCAGATTTTTGTCTGACAGGCAGCCTGGTGTGTCCTGCCCTCGAGAGATCTTCTAGTTCTCACTTCTCAGAAAGGAATTCAGGTGGGGTCAAGTGTTATGCCATGCTATTTACATGCATGGGAAACATGACTTAAACTAAGCCTATGTTTATTCATCAGATGTATGAATCAGATGGATCGATTATGGTCTATTGGCATGCCCTGGACACACCAGAGACCCCCACAGGTCAGTGCACACCTCTGTCTCCGTAAATAACGTAAATGTGTTTATTCATTTTCACCTAATTTGAAGAAAGAACTGTGTGAAATTGGTTGTGATTAACTACGTACCTCATAAAAATGACATTATCTGTTGTAATTTCCCAGCTAAGGCAGTGTTTGCCCGAGGGATAGCAGCGGTGCGGGAAAAATACATTTGTGTAGGTAAGTAGCCTCATCTGTCAGCAGTGGATAGTAAATATCTGTCTTTTCTAAGCAAGCCATTTATAAATTTCCTTAGTGTGTATACTAAAAGTGCCCCTTTCCATTCCTCACACTTTTTTCAGGGGTCTCATCTGGCTCAGTGCTGGTGTTTGACGTTCCCAGTAAAGGCAGTAACATCACCCTGTCTGAGGTTTTGGAGGAACACAAAGAGGACATTACAGACATGACCTCTGAGTGCTCAGGAAGTCTGGTATTAACTTATAATAACTTTCATTTGTAAACCACAAGGCAAATGCTATTTTTAGGTGTTTTATTTGTCATGTTTGGTTCAGTGGATTTAAATTACTGGTGGCTCAAATGTTTTAATATTGAATTGACCTCTTTTTTCAGGAGGGCATTGCTGATTTAGTAAGCGCTGATGACTCTGGCCTCCTCTGTGTGTGGAAATCAGGAGAGGATTTTCAACTTCTCAACAAGATCCCTGGTTTTGAGTATGTTAGGAAGTAACACCCACTATACAAGAGACAATAGGTTTCATTCATGACAATGGGTTTCATTCAGAGCCATAGAGAGAAAGAGTTGCGACACGCTTTGATGTCGCCGCGACGGCTGTCACGTGGTTCATGTAAGCCCCAATAGTTCCAAAACATACGCGGGCTGTCATGTTCTTCTATGGACAGACAGCAGCGATTGCATTATTAAACGGTAAATATGAAAATAAAACACACACCCAAGTACTTTTTAAGCTGTTATTGCATTTTGTTAATGTCAGTTTTGCATTTGGAGAGGCAGGGTGACAACTTAGATAAGTTTTAGGCTATATTTTTGGAGGGAAAAGCTTAGTGTTCATGTTCGCATGGGTAGTAGCACTGGCTTTAGCGGCTCTAACTTAACTTTTCCGTGTCATTCATCTGATGATGGACGTCTCATGATATTTATTTTAGCACAACTGGGTTGTATTAGGCTATTGATTGCTGTGATCTTGCTTATAAATTCCGCTTCGTGATCACGCAAAGAGGTCTGCAGTCCGTTCAGAACTCCAACCAACATAAAATATAAATAATTACACTGTGCATGTACAAATGAATGTACAAATGAATAATTTAGGAGGGAAATAGACTGCTCCCATAACGTAGAAAGCAACGACTATATACAGCAATGTTCGGTAAATATTCAACCGAAAAATATTCTTCATAAAATTAAACCGGAGAGATAGTTAATGAGTGAATTAACTATGTTCCTAAATACATATAAGCACATGCACAACCCTAACCCATTTAAATAAATGAATTGTGTGTGTGTGTGTGTGTGTATGTGTGTGTGTGTGTATGTGTGTGTGTGTGTGTGTGTGTGTGTGTGTGTGTATGTATATAATATTATATATAGGATATATAAATATATATATATATATATACATACACTCACCGGCCACTTTATTAGGTACACCTGTCCAACTGCTCGTTAACACTTAATTTCTAAGCAGCCAATCACATGGCGGCAACTCAGTGCATTTAGGCATGTAGACATGGTCAAGACAATCTCCTGCAGTTCAAACCGAGCATCAGTATGGGGAAGAAAGTTGATTTGAGTGACTTTGAACGTGGCATGATTGTTGGTGCCAGAAGGGCTGGTCTGAGTATTTCAGAAACTGCTAATCTACTGGGATTTTCACGCACAACCATCTCTAGGGTTTACAGAGAATGGTCCGAAAAAGAAAAAACATCCAGTGAGCGGCAGTTCTGTGGGCGGAAATGCCTTGTTGATGCCAGAGGTCAGAGGAGAATGGCCAGACTGGTTCGAGCTGATAGAAGGGCAACAGTGACTGAAATAACCACTCGTTACAACCGAGGTATGCAGCAAAGCATTTGTGAAGCCACAACACGCACAACCTTGAGGCGGATGGGCTACAACAGCAGAAGACTCCACCGGGTACCACTCATCTCCACTACAAATAGGAAAAAGAGGCTACAATTTGCAAGAGCTCACCAAAATTGAACAGTTGAAGACTGGAAAAATGTTGCCTGGTCTGATGAGTCTCGATTTCTGTTGAGACATTCAGATGTTAGAGTCAGAATTTGGCGTAAACAGAATGAGAACATGGAACCATCATGCCTTGTTACCACTGCGCAGGCTGGTGGTGGTGGTGTAATGGTGTGGGGGATGTTTTCCTGGCACACTTTAGGCCCCTTAGTGCCAATTGGGCATCGTTTAAATGCCACGGCCTACCTGAGCATTGTTTCTGACCATGTCCATCCCTTTATGGCCACCATGTACCCATCCTCTGATGGCTACTTCCACCATGTCACAAAGCTCTAATCATTTCAAATTGGTTTCTTGAACATGACAATGAGTTCACTGTACTAAAATGGCCTCCACAGTCACCAGATCTCAACCCAATAGAGCATCTTTGGGATGTGGTGGAACGGGAGATTCGCATCATGGATGTGCAGCCGACAAATCTGCGGCAACTGTGTGATGCCATCATGTCAATATGGACCAAACTCCCTGAGGAATGCTTCCAGCACCTTGTTGAATCTATGCCACGAAGAATTGAGGCAGTTCTGAAGGCAAAAGGGGGTCCAACCCGTTACTAGCATGGGGTACCTAATAAAGTGGCCGGTGAGTGTATAAAATATTATTAAAAATATTATATATTATATACATCAGGTTACCAGTTAGCTAACGTTAGTGAAGTGTTGGTCACGTAAGCTATCGCTGCAATTAACCTATTATCTTCCAATAAACATTTACTAAAACTGGCTACATAAAATATAACTACAGACTAGATTCACGAGAGGTCGGCTAATGTGTGTAAAAGTAAAAAAAAAAATACAGTAATTTCATTAATTTACCAGCGAGCGTACTTTGGAAGCACTAAAAATTAATGGGGTTCAATGGAGAAACTATCAGTGTTTGGAACTATTGGCTGCTCCAAGACACGCGTTACTTCCGCATTCCAAAGTTCCTATGGCAGTCTATGGGAGTGACTATGGGAGTCGCAACTCTTTCTCTCTATGGCTCTGGTTTCATTATTATGGAGTATATTCTATATAATTTGTACATAAAGAGGTGCTTCATTTACATTTACATTTATTCATTTAGCAGACGCTTTTATCCAAAGCGACTTACAAATGAGAACAATAGAAGCAGTTAAACTAACAGTAGGACAACAATACGCAAGTGCTATAACCCCTCTCAGTTTAATTTTAGTGCAGGTTTTTTTTTTTTTTTTTTTTTTTTTTTTTTAAATAGAAGAGAAGAGAAAGTGTTAGTACTACTGAATCAAGTGCTGCCGAAAAAGATACGTCTTCAGTAGTTTCTTGAAAGTGGCTACTGACTCAGAAGCTCTGGTTGAGTTAGGCAGATCATTCCACCAGCAGGGAACAGCCATGGTAAAGGTCCGAGAAAGAGATTTTGTGCCTCTTTGAGATGGTACCACAAGACGACATTCGTTAGCAGAGCGCAAGTTTCTGGATGGCACATAAGTCTGAAGTAATGAGTTTAGGTAAGAGGGAGCAGTGAGCTTCCCAAAAACTCTCCTCCGGATTTGGAAACACTTCGTAAACCTGAGATTTGATAGTCAAACAAGTGAATTCTAATAATGTATAAATAGGGACCATGCAGGGCATGGCATGCACACTGATTTTTAATTAGCATACTTCCCGCTAATGAATTACAACAATATGTGAGTTATGTGTATAAGAATCCTGTGGGATCTTTTGGACTCCCTTCTTAGGTTTGGCACCAGTATATTGCATAGATGCAAAATAATAATTGGCCATATTTTTAACAAAAAATATTTAATTAATGTGTTAAGCTTGCTGACAAATGCTGGTGCTCCGAATAATCGTGTTCTATAATAAAAACTTGGTGTTTTCAATCATTTTTGTTTATCAGTGAAATTTATTTGTACATATAACTCATTGGATAATTAATTAACTTTGTGATTACATATTGTTATGGTAAATGTTATCAAAATGCAGTGTCAGTTTGGCTAAAATAACATAAAACTTCATGAAATCAATGCTTCATGAATCCGAAAATTTACATCAGAACGACTTTACAAACGGTTTACACAAAAACGTATTCTGCCTGTGTTTCATGAAGTGCATATATTATTCAAATGTGTATGTTCTTCTCTCAGCACAAGTTGTTCTTCAGTAAAACTGTGGAAGGGCACAGTCATTGCAGGCTATGGGACAGGACAGATCCGTCTGTATGAGGCGGTCACGGGTATACTGCATGCAGAGGTCAATGCTCATGCACGCTGGATCTACACACTGGACATTGCCCCATTCACTGGCCTGGTGAGAAAAGATGTATACAGTACAGTCTGTGTCTTACAATTAATATTTGGATCAGTACATATGTGCACTTTGAGTCTAGTAATCGTATTATTTAAATACATTTTGAGCACAAATAGGCTTAATTAAATTAAGTTTTTCATATTCAGATGTATTCTTAAAATGGTAAACTCTCATATACTGATATTGTTTTCCTTTGTTTAATGAAAAAGCTGCTCTCTGCAGCAGAAGACTCTTGGGTTAGAGTGTGGCATCTGAGCTTGACCCCAGAGACTAACAGTGTAGAGGTAAAACCCTTCACAGACATACACTGCATTTCAAAAAAGAAATTCTTCTTCAGCAAAATGCATTAAATTGATCAAAAGTTACAGTAAATACATTTATAATGTTAATATTATTTCTATTTCAAATAAATGCTGTTCTTTTGATCTTTCTATTCTTCAAAGAATCTTGAAAAGAATAACGGTTCCCACAAAAATATTAAGCAGCACAACTGTTTTCAACATTGATAATAATAAGTGTTCCTTGAGCAGCAAATCAGCATATTAGAATGATTTCTGAAGAATCATGTGACACTGACGACTGGAGTAATGACTGTTAAAAAATCAGCTTTGCCATAACAGCAATGAATTACATTTTAAAATATATTCAAATAGAACACAGTTATTCTAAATTGTAATTGTACTTCACAATATTACTGTTTTACTGTATTTGTGATTCAATAAATGCAGCCTTGGTGAGCATATAGACTTTCAAAAAACTTAATAAAAAAAATCTTAACCAACCCCAAGCTTTTGAACAGTAGTGTACATGCACTAAAACTGCATTAGTAGTTACATTAAATGAAAACATTTGACTTGATATTTTGTTCTGGAGTATTCAGTGTTGCAATGCACTTTATGTGTGTTCAGCTGATTTCAGACAGACTCTGCATTTCTCTGCCCTTTCTAGGTCGAGCACATGTACAATGAGTGTGTGACTGACACGCAGATCTGTGGAGCCAAGTTCTGTGATGGGGACGGCTACGCATTTGCAGTGACCGGCTATGACTTGAGTGAGATCATCCGCTACACGCAAGCCTAATCAGCAATACATCATGCAAGGTCATGTCTTGACAAAATATTGGTGTGCATGATAGGCAGGGTCAGGGGGCAGAGAATGTTTTCTTAAAACCGAAAGACACTAACTGAAATTGCCTAAAAAGCCCCACTTGAACACCAGGAGGCTGTGTTAAGTATGTCTACATGACTGACAGTTGTAATGAATACAAAAATACACTTTTGTGCTCTGATATTGAGGTAAAATGCATAACAAAAGAACATATAGATTGCCTTCTAATCTGGGTAGAGAAGTATCAATATAAACAAATGTTAGAAGAGGTAGTTCTGTTGGTTTTTTGCTCCTTATATAATTTGTTTAGTAAATGTGTTTACTAAAGTGTTACTGAAAAATGTATTTGAAAAATATTGTATTGTATGTATTGAAAAAATTGAGGTCTGCAATTGAATCAAATGGAATGTAATCATATTTGTGATTCAGAACACAGAAATGATCAAAATATATTTTATCTAATGTGTAATATTATAAATATTGCAGAGGCTATTTTTCCCCAAAGAGAATTATAATGTTCTTTTATATTTGTCAAATAGCCTTTGAAATAATCACATTGTATCGGTATCCAGATAGTTATTTCAACTTGATGTAAAAGCAAATATTTTATATTTTGTGTCGTTTTTGTTATTCTCTGTTTCATTGTAAGCAATTGTCAGAGACAGTTCAGCAAACTATTAAAAAATAAAGAAATGGGTTTCACTCATTGACTGTGGCCTTTATTGCAATTAGAAATGTGTACCAGTAGATGGCAATAGATCTTACATCTTTAATGTTTTTTTGAACACTTGCAACATTTGAGATCAGAATTAAAAGAGATATATAAAGACGTATCATAGAACATATCCAGCATAAATTAGGGTAAGAGTCATTATGGTTTAATTGTCTTCAGTGTCATCTCTGTGAACTCGTAAATAGTTGATCAACTTAAACACATTTGACATGTTTTTGTAGTTTTCTAACAAGAGAAAATCTTTATTTAAGCAGCATTTTTTTTATCTTTGACTAATATATTCATCACTGTTAACTTCAGTCCCTTTGCGTCTATCTGTTTGCCTTTAAAAGACAGAGGAAGACTTTGACTGTCCTTCATGCACCTGCCCTGATGAGTCCTTTTTCTTGATTTACACTGTTATCACACTGTAATGTTTTGTTGTCATTACATCAGTCATCTGTGTAGGTTTCTCTTTTTTAGGTCAAAGCAGAACAGCAGAGGAATGCGCATTATCACGGCAAGCTTTTTTATTAGTAATCTGTTGAAATATCTTTTATGCTCATTTGACTTTTCCACCATAATATTTGTGCCTATACTGTTAGTCTGTTGTTCCCTCATGTATTATCCACACATGACCTCCCTTGCCACCTTGTTATTGATAAAACACCCCATGCTTTCTTATGTAAAACTTTGTCCTATGGATGACACTGTATGTGCCCTATATCTGTTATCAAGAGAGAGTGAATATCAATGACACATAGACTGAGAAAAGAGCGCTGACCATCAGATTTGATGGTGGACAGAGAGGAAGAGAGTCCAGAGAGAGTCGATGAGACCTCCTTTGGCTGTGGGTTTAATGGAATTATGTAACGCTGCCGTGCGGCATTGGAGTACAGTGAGATGTGTTTAAGGTCATTGTGTTTAGTGGGATCTGTGGTAATAAACACTATGGCTGGTTTACAGGCTGTGTGAAATTCAATAGTGCTTTCCAGACACATCAGATCTGTGGCCTCCAGGGGGTCGCAGTGTTTTCAGATGGGAACCGCCAGTCTGCTTGGCACAATGCAATCCCAGTGGACACTTAGATGCTCATTTATTACACTTAGGTGGATTTGTTGCACTTAAGTGGAAGTAAGAAAGATTATATTCTCTGCTTTCAATGCATGTGTCTTCAACTATGGGCACTTTTATGTTCAAGGGATCGATTTTTAATTATAAAATTTAAGTTTGGTTTTTGAATTTTCAGATGTCTTTATGATTTACATTGTACACTTGATCCAGACCCAGAAAAATCATCACGAGAATGTTGCAGTACGTCATTTCCACTCAAGCGGTAATATTGTCAAAAGTATGTTATTGTAACATGTATTGTTCTGTTTTGGTTTAGTTTTCACGCTTTCTGTTCTTGTTTGCCTGTGTTCATTGTTTACTTTGCTTGTTAAATTTCCATGGTTGTTAATTAGTTCCACACACCTGTTTGTGTTCAGCTGATTACCACTACTTGTGTATTTAGTGATTATTATTCCTGTTCCTCTTTTGTCCTGAGTGTCAGGTAATTACAGAATATACAGTTTATATTGAATTCTCTGTCATAGAGTTTACTGACCAGCAAAACATGGCAGTTATATTGTGTACAGTATTATATTGTGATACTGACACATACAAACTATTAGCTTTAGGAGTCAAAATGTGATTTCTATAACACAATACATCAATGTGCTGGAAATTACAGAATCCTACTGTAATAAATGCATATGTACAGTTGGGAAAATAACATTTTAAAAACTTAAAATGTTTTAAGAATGTTATAAAGTCAGTATGGAAATGAAAATGTATCTATTTAATAAATGCATGCTAATTATCTTATTGTGAACGATTCATCCATGTCAGTGTTATTTTAGTATAATTTAGATACTATTATAGTTTTATTAATATTTTTAATTATTTTATTTTAATTTCTATTTAGTTTTAGTAATTTTGTTGTTTGTTTTGTCATTTTTGTTCATTTTTAAAAAATATATGTCTACTGTAAAAAAAAGTTGCGGCCTTAAATTTTTTTAAGTACAATCAACTTGGACGTTTAAGTCTTAAATTACATAAAACTGACTTAAAACTTAGTTGAATCTTGTATAACTTATTAAAAAAAACTTGAAAATTGCTTAACTTATTTTGACGAGTTCAAAGAAATGTAAAAAAGTTGTCTTAACTTATTGACCATATAAGTTTTTACAGGATTTATTTTATTTAAGTTTTAGTGGTTTTAGTACATCAAGTTAAACTAAATGGAAATGAAAAATGTTGCCTGCTGCAACTAACTGAAATAAAATAACTTTGTTTATATTGAGATATATATATATATATATATATATATATATATATATATATAATATTCACATTGATTTATATTTTAATTTTGTTTTGATTTCAGTTAACTTTTAATTCATTTCAAGTAAAAAATTTTTTAATGGTTTTTAGGACCTTTTCATTTTTATCTTTTTTTGATCTTCTGTGATGTATGCAGGACTTCTCCAATCATTTAGTCTGCTTAAACCGTGTACTTTCTCACAACCGACAGCAAGCTCACTTTCAGATCTGCCTCATTCAATCATCAACCGATTGATGGAAGCAAGTCCTTTCTTTTTTATTTTCTTTAATCCGTTTCACTTGGATGAGCCTAACAATGCAGAAGAAAATATCTGTTGCTACTTCAGTTCTCTTATGAGAGGTTCTCTCGTATTGCGTAAGCTAGATTACGCTATGGAAAAGATTAATCTTTTCTGAGAATTTGAAGCCAAAAAATTATCCTATAATTTTGTATCCATTGTCAACGCAGTTCAGCTGCAGCAGACCATGAGCGGGCTAGCTAGCAGCTCATTGGTTCGCTCACAGAGAACTGCTTAAGCCTATGAGGAGACGCGAATGAACTCTCGGCCAATGAGAGTCTGACCTGCTCTCATTGCGTCAGAGCCCGCCGAAACGGGCGTGGTCAGAGAGTATAAATTGGCATCCTAGGCTGTGAACTCTGATTTTCATCTCTTCAGCGAGGCTACACGCATCTGCTGATCCTGAGAGAAGCCGCCGTCGTTGAAAAGGCAACTCTGCAAGCATCTGGGAGACTGAGGAAGCCGGCCGTCTTCGCCACCTTCAGCCGTCCTGCGAGCTAGCGCCATCCGACGGATTTGTATCCTTTTTTACAAAAAGCTTCCTGTAACATTTTGTATCTAAAAGAGCGAGCGTCTTTTTCAAGATGTCTCATAAATCTTCCTGCGGCTCTTGCCGCGCTCCCCTCGAGGTTGGAGACCGCCACGTCATCTGCGCTCTCTGCCTCGGATTGGAGCACGCCGAGCTCGCCCTCGCCGATGGCGGCTTCGATCTCTGCGAGAACATGCCGTTGTCGACCCTGCAGGCTCGACTTCAGGCTAATAAAGTTGCTTCCGCGCCGCCTCTGACTTCGGCGCGGAAGAAGAAACGCCGCTCTCAGAGGCCGCCGGAACCCCAGCCAGAAGCGTTCATCCCGCCGGAGCCTGTCGCCTCCCGCTCTCCTTCTCCGCCGCTTCCGGATATACAGTTGCCGCCGAGTGGCCGCTCTGTCGCCTCCAATGACGCCGCAGACATCAAGGAGACATGTTCGCTTCTCGCTTCAGACAGTGAGGAATGGTCCGGTTCTCACGCCTCCTCGGCCCAAGAATCCACCGGGACCCGCGCTGAAATCGAGGAGGAATTAGTGCGCCTCCTCTCACAGGCCGTCGAACGCCTCGGGCTCGATTGGTCCCCTCCCCCCGAGCAGACCATCAACCGTATGGACGGCAGCTACTTCCGCCAGCGCTCGACTCCCGTCACTAAACGGGCCGCCCCCTTCCTGCCTGAACTGCACGCGGAACTCACGAAGTCCTGGAACGCCCCGCTCTCTGCTAGAACTTGCTCTGATTTTTCCACCCCGCTGCGCGTTGTGGACGGAGCCGCAAAAAAGGGCTATCTCTCCATTCCCCCTGTAGAGGACCAGGTCGCCGCACATTTATGCCTGCCTTCCACGAGATGGCGCTCATCACCTGTGCTTCCCTCTAAAGCCTGCAGAGCGACTTCAAGCTTTCACGCCCGCGCTTACTCAGCCGCCGGCCAAGCAGCCTCTGCACTTCACTCTATGTCCGTCCTTCAGATACTACAGGGTGACTTACTTCGTGAATGGGACGAGAGCGGAAAAAATCCCCCCACAGTCGTGGATTTGAGGAGCGCCACGGACATTGCCCTTCGTGCTACAAAATCTGCTGCTCAAGCCCTGGGGAAATGCATGGCCGCCATTTGTGTGTCTGAAAGACATTTGTGGCTCACACTCGCCGACATGGGAGATTCTGAGCGCGCCGCCTTTCTCAACGCCCCGCTCTCTCCATCCGGCCTCTTCGGATCTGCTGTCACGGGTATCGTTGACCGATTTTCCGAAGTGCAGAAAG